GGGGGCCCCGCGGGGTGGGGAGGGCCGGCGGCAGGATCTGGCCTCCCCTTGGGAAGGGGACCCTGCTTGTGCTGTGACCCCCGGCATCCGAGGATATTTCTCCCTCTCTTTCCCTCTCCAACTCTCCTCTCTGCTGCGTGAGCTGGGACTGCGACCCCCTTTAACGCCCTCTCCCCGCTCCTCACCCTCTTCCCCCAGGACCTGCTTGGCTGGTCACGGAAGGACCTGTGCAGTGAATTCGGCATTGGCAGACCTCACCAGGCCGGCACCTTCGACTGGACCCATGAGGCTGTGGTCAGGGAGAGAGACTGGCCTGGTGAGACGGAGCGGGACCGGGAATTCGGGACCAAATCGAGCTGGGACGGCACCCGCAGTGTCAGGGATGGGGACCGGCAGGACGGGCCCTTCGGCACCGCCGTGAAGGACTGGGGCAGCGATTACAAAGGGACGGAGCTGATGGGGGAAACGCGACTGGGCTGCAGCGACTGGTCCAAATCCCACAGCGCGGGGGAAAGCTGCCTGCAGGATCAAGACTTCGGTGCCGGCAAACCCAAGTGGGGCACGGGCTATGGCTTGGACAGCGCGGGCAGCGGGGAGGAGATCGGCTCCGCGAAGGCTGACTGGAGCAGCGGCTACGGCGTGGGACGTGGCCAGCAGCAGGACAAGGAGCCGAGCTCCAGGCAGCCCAGCTGGGCTGGCAGGTACGGCTCCGGGGACCCGGAGAGCCAGGGTGGGGAGATGCCACCTGCGTGGGCTGGTGAATACGGCACCAGCGATGGGGAGATGAAGGACAGGGAGCTCACCCCAGACTGGGCCAGTAAATACAACAGCAGGGATGCCGAGACCAAGGGCAAGGATTTTACGCTGGGCTGGGCTGGCAGATCCAGCACTGGGGACACCGGGACCCCAGACAAGGAGTTCAGCCCCAGCAGGCCGGCCTGGGACAGCAAATACAGCACCAGGGACATGGAGAGCCAGGACCGGGAGTTCAGCCCCAGCAGGCCGGCCGAGGCCGGCGAATACAGCACCAGGGACATGGAGAGCCAGGACCGGGAGTTCAGCCCCAGCAGACCGGCCTGGGATAGCGAGTACCGCAGCAGGGACATGGAGAGCCAGGACCGGGAGTTCAGCCCCAGCAGACCGGCCTGGGACGATGAGCACAGGACCAGGGACGTGGAGAGCCGGGACCACCGGCCTGGATGGATGAGCACAGGACCAGGGGCGTGGAGAGCCAGGACCGGGAGTTCAGCCCAGACCGGCCTGGGACGATGAGCACAGGACCAGGGGCGTGGAGAGCCAGGACCGGGAGTTCAGCCCCAGCAGACCGGCCTGGGCCAGCGAGTACAGCAGCAGAGAGATGGAGACCCGGGACAGCGGGTTCGAACCCAGCAGACCAGCCTGGGATGACAAATACAGCACCAGGGACGTGGAGACCCGGGACGGGGAGTTCAAGCCCAGCAGACCGGCCTGGGCCAGCGAGTACAGCTCCGTGAACACCGGAAAGGAAGAAAGAGAGTTTAGTCCTGGCCGGCTGAGCTGGGCTGGTGAGCGCAGCATTGGCCAAACCGAGCTGGTCGATGCTTTTGGTGTCAGGAAAGAGGCCGCTGTGCCTGCCCCCCCCCCCGCCGCTCCCCCGGCCCAGGAGCCCGGCTGGGGCAGCACCGACCAGCAGGAGCGCGGTACCACCGATAGCAGGGACTGGGCTAAAGAGCTTGGAGGAGCCGAGCGCCACAACCAATTTGGCATCATTGGGACAGAGTGGGTGCCAGATCCCTCCAGCGCCGGAGCGTCGTCAGATGGCTCGACGTCCTGGGCCGGTGGAATGAGGTCCGGGGGCCTGCAGGAGCCCCTGGGAGACTGGCACAGGGATGCCACCAGCTGCGTGGGCACTGGTGATGCCGGTGGGGGGGGCCCGGGCCAGACGGCCTGGGGTCAGGGCCTGGGCAGCCTGCCCGCCCCGGGCAGCTCTGCCCAGCCCCGGGAGGCTGGGGTGGAAGAGCCAGGCTGGAGCCAGGACCTCGACGCAGCCGGCTGGAATGCGGAGCTGGGCGACGCCGAGGCCAAGCGCCGGGAGTGGGCTAGTGCGTTCGGCGCCCGCTGTGCGGCCCGGAGCCGGGACTTTGGTGCTGGGGAGCAAAGCCCGGGAGATGACACCGGCTCAGCAGACGGGTAAGGAGGGCGCTGGCGGTGGCAGCGTGGCCCCGGGGAGGGAGCCGTCCCCTGCGGGTGCCCGTGCTGTCCTGCAGCGGGGACTTCCGACGCCGTGGGCCTTGTGCTGGCGTCCTACCGTGCCTCGTGTAGCTGGGGGACCTGCTGCCTCCGGCCCTGGGCTGCCAGAGCTCCTCTTCCCCAGCCTCCGCATTTCCCCGTGTAGCCTCCGGCCCCGCAACTGGAGCGGGAACTTTTCGAGGGACTGGGTTTCAACTTGTCCCAGCAGGATCTGCCGTCTTGAGCTGATCCAGGAGGGGATGATGCCTTCAGGGCTTCTTGTGCTGGTCTCCCTCTGACGTGGGGAGCTGTGCGCCGAGTTTGGGGGGATGCTGGTGTTCCCTATGCCCCCTGAAAAAGGGGCAGAATTAGCCCCGTGCCCTTATTGCTTCGCCAGGATGTGGGAACCCTGATTTCAGCCAACTTACGGAGCTGGGGATTCCCAAAATGATAAATTCCCCCAAGTTGCCTGAAAATAAGGATCCCAGGAGGAGGGAAGTGAAGGTCCCACGGGCCTCGGGAAGGCCCCAGCCTGGTCGACCTGTGTGGGGCAGCGGGGATCCCCCAAGCCCTGCCCCGGGAGCTGTGCGGTTTCCTGCTGCCAGCGCCTTCCCACACCCTGGGTGGCCCTGATCCTCCTCCTCCTCCTCCTCCTGCCCCTTGGGGCCCCTTGGTCACCTGGCGTCCCCCTGGCCACCTCCTGGGGGCTGGTGACCCTACTGGGGGGTCTGACCCCTTTCTCTGCCCCAAGGGGGAGAGTTGGCCCGAGTCCCCCGTGAGTCTGGCAGCCTCCTTGCCCTCCCCAGACCCCAAATTCTGCCCCAGCCTTTGGGAGGGGGCTTTGGGGGAACTTCCCAGAGGTGCCACCCCCTTGGTGTGACATCCTGGGAGAGGGGGGAGAGTCCTGGACACCTGGGTCCTGTCCTGACTTCACGGGAGCAGTGTTTGGCCCTCCCCGTGCCTCAGTTTCCCCTGGAGGCTGACGGAGGCGAGGTTCGGGGCAGGGGAAGGGCTGGTGTTAGCCGGAGCTGGAGGAACTCTGGGGTCTCGCCTTGTCTCCCCGAGCAGAAGCATCCATCTCTCGGACCCCAGCCCGCCGATGCGCGATGGCCACCGGC